AGCGGGAGCATGGGGGGGGGGCATGTCCCCCCCCCCCCCGCCTGAGATTGGCTGCAGCCAACTTCTGCAGGTGGTCCCCACTCGCCCCTGCCCCCCACCTGTTGCCGATGCTGTGGGCAGTCCCCACTCGCCAACACCAGTGGCTGCAGGCAGTCCCTACTCACTACCATGGTGCCCCCCTAGTCTTGGGAGGCATCAGTCTTTCATGGCAAGAGAAATCCCCGACAGTGTGCTTTGGAGTTTTTTGGATTGCAAAAAAAGGATGATTCCTTTTTGAATGATTGTTCATTGGCGCATTTTGACGGGTGCACATGTGCCTCAAGCATTTGAATATAGACTTTCTTGTCTTAATAGTATCTGTCAGGTACATCACAGTTGGCATAAAGTACATTTTTCTTGATGTAGAAGAGCATACTACAGCTTTGGACAGATGTTACATTTGTAGTGCTACAAAAATGACGTGTCTCAACACAAATGTTCCTGAAAGAAATAGGATTTCTCTATAGAAATGTTGTAGGGGTCTTTTAGTCCCCCTGCATCCTACGGTACTGTGCAGTGGGGGCTGGGGGGGGAGAGTGTGGGGTGAACTGTCCCTGATTGTTTTGGTGTTGGTTTCCCTGCCGTGAATGGAGAAGCAGGCAGTGGAGCCTATAGACCAAGGGTGGGCGAAATACAGCTTGTGGGTCAAATTCGACTTGCCAAGTGACTGGATCCAGCCTGTGGCTGCCCCCACAGTGCTCCATATGGGGCCAAGCCCTGCCCACTCCCGCTGGGGCAGCCTGCACTGCGCTTCCACCAGCTCCTGCTGGCCCAGGTCCCAGCCAGCTCGCAGCTTCTGGCGGGGTTGTTCCCAGTGTGGCTGCAGCTGGCCAGATGCTGCTGTGCTCCCCTCACCTCTGGGAGGAGCCACTGGGCCGAAGCTTCCTCTCTGCCTGGCACAGCACAGCAGGGGCAAAAGTGGGATGAAGAGTCGCTGCTGGAGGTGAGGGGAGCAGAACAGCACCCAGCCAGCTGCAGCCACACAGGGAACAGCCCTGCCAGAAGCTGTGAGCTGGCCAGAGGCCAGGGCAGCAAGGTTGTTCTACTCCCCTTGCCTCCTGCTATACTGCTCTGGGCAGGCAGGCGGGAAGCTTCAGCTGGGCGGCTCCTGCCCAGTGCACGGAGCTCCAGCTCTAGCTCCTGGCTGCTTCCACCCGCTTCAGCCACCCCGGGTAATAAGCAGCCCACCTGCAGGTGGGTGGAGCAGGTGGAAGGTGGCTGGGAGCTGGAGGTAGAGCTCCATGTGCTGGGCACAACCTGCCTGGCTGAAGGTTCTCCCCCACCGGAGCAGTGGGGTGCAGCAGAGGCAGAAGCAGCAGCCACAGCTGGAGGCAAGGGGAGCAGAACAGCTCTGCCAGCCCAGGCCCAGGCACCAGCCAGCGCATGCAGCTTCCAGTCACCACCATACCTAGACTCCCAGCAGCCCTCGGTGAACTTTTATTATTGGGTCCCTACACCAGAGATAATGATAAGAATAAAAAATAATTACCATTCTTGGACCCAATTTCTGTCCAGGCCCCAGGTGGCTGCCCAGTTCACCCATGCTGTGTTTGGCCCTGCTTCCAGTGGCGCTGTTCCCAGTGCAGCTGCAGCCAGCCGGGTGCTGCTGTGGTCTCCTCACCTCCCAGCGACAATGCAAGCCTGGCTGGCTGCAGCCACTCTGGGAACAACCCCACTGGAAGCTGCGCGCTGGCCAGGGCTCAGGCTGGGGTCGGCGGGTGTGGGTGGGAGCACGGCCTGGGCTGCCCTGGGCAGGGTTTGGCCCCATGTGGAGTTCTGCGGGAGCAGCCACTAACCAGGCAAGCTCTGCTGCATAGCTCTACCTGCTGACTCTCACTCTAGCAAGGCCCGACTTAAACAGCTTAGATGCTCTTCTGAATCTCCTCAGTTGAGCAGTCCTATGGTTGTGATTTCTGCTGGGAGTTAATCTGTAGTTCTAGCTTCACACAGGCAGGGTGCAAAAGGACTTCCCACAGAAGTATGTGGTCATTTGATCTCCTGTCATCACTTGGAAGTTCCCTTAGAATTATTGTTTTAATTGTAGCATTTAAGGATACTTGGTTTAGTTAAGTTAGAAGTTAATGTGAACATTAATCGGAAGAGTACCTTTATAAATAGTACTTTCTTACTCCTCAAACCTTGTTAATCCTGTCGTGTCCCTCCACCTACCGTGTACCCAGTAACAGTTTTGAATGTCACTGTTAGGACAACTGTTACCAGTCCAGAAAACCTCTCTAGAGGAGGAGCTGGTTGACAGTCTGTCATAGGATTGGAACCAGTCCCTTTCTGCTGTGTACTCACGGGTCTGAATATTGATTCCCCTCCCCCCCATATGACTTTACTTCAGCCAACTTGATTCAAAAAGAGACCTCAAGCTAAAGCTTTGTTTCAATGCACATTGCTTGTGATTTCTGCAGTAGCCCTCAAAAAATGGTGTATATCCTATACTCAGGTGGGGAAAGTAACCTTCCTTCTCCTCGCGTACAGTGACCAAAACACAGGGATTTTTTTTCTTTTTCATTGTTGATGGATGCTCCATTTGAGTGCGTTGGAGAGATTCCCTTAAAGCTTCTTTCTTTTAAAAAAACTTTGACTTGTGGGATGGGAAAGCTGGGGTCTCTGATCTCTGCTGCTACCCTTTTTCTCAGCATCTGGTGGTGTTTCACCTTGGCCAGACAAACACTGAGTAGTCTTTTATCTATATATACTGGGGTGGGCAAAATACGGCCCGCGGGCCGGATGCGGCCTGCCAAGCACTTCTCTCTGGCCTGCGGGGCCCCTTCAAAACCCATGTACTGGCGGCTGCCTCTCTAAAAGCCTCCAGGGGCACTAGCCGTGGGCTGCAGCACCTCAGGCTGTTTCCTTGCGTTGTGGTTGTGAGGCAACCAACCCTGACCTCAGCCTGACCCAGCTGGCCTCACCCCACCCTGCCCCCGGGCCACGTTTGCAGCTTGAGAGGGGTCAGGGGGCTGGGCCAGAACCTGTGGCGCTGGTGAGAGGAAACAGTGTCTGGGCTGGGTTCTGCTTTGCTGCACAGGACTGGAAAGGGCCCTGCCTTGCAGGTGAGCCCAGGAAAGCGGCTGCTGGGCACGCTTTCCCCGTGCCGTGCCGTGCCGCTCGGGCCATGCAGGGTTGGGCTGGGCTGGCACTGGGGAGGGGAAGCAGCAGCTGGGCTGCAGCTCCGGCCCAGTCAGCACCAGGAAGGAGAGGTGGCAGCAGAGCCACGTGCTGCTCAGGACAGGATGAGCCCAGCCAGAGCGGCAGGGGCTCAGCTGCATGTTCCCCCTGCCTGTGCTGGTCAGTCCCGAGCAGCACATCGCTCCACCACCGCTTCTGCTGGCTGGTGCTGACCCAGCTGGGCTCGCCTCCTCCCCAGCAGCACCTGGGAAGCTGGCTTCAGCCACATGCTGCTCTGGCTGGGATGGAGCCAGCCGGGTCTTCGCCAGCCAGGAAAGTCAGCATGCAGCTGCAGTCGGCTCTTCACGTGCTGCTGGGGAAGGGAGGAGCCCAGCCGGGTTTGCGCCAGCCAGCAGAAGCGGCAGCAGAGCCATGTGCCACTTAGGACGGGACAAGCCCAGCCAGAGTGGCAGGGGCTCAGCTGCACTTTCCCCTTGCCTGAACCAGTCAGTCCCAAGTGGCACCCAGCTCTGATGCTGCTTCTGCTGGCCAGTGCAGACCTGCCCGGGCCTGTCCTGTCCAGAGCAGCATGTGGCTGAAGCCAGCTTCCCACATTCTGCTAGGGACAGGAGGAGCCCTGTCAGGTCAGCACCGGCCAGCAGAAGCAGTGGCGGAGCTGGGTGCCGCTCAGGACTGACCGGAGCAGGCAGGGGGAAAGTGCAGCTGAGCTGAGCCCCTGCTGCTCTGGCCGGGCTCATCCCATCCTGAGCAGCACATGGCTCCGCTGCCACTTCTGCCGGCCGGCACAGACCTGGCTGGGCTCCTCTCATCCCCAGCAGCATATGAAAAGCCGACTTCAGCTGCATGCCGCCTTTCCTGGCCAGTGCAGACCTGGCCAGGCTTGTCACATCCAGAGCAGCATGCGACTGAAGCCAGCTTCCCAGGTGCTGCTGGGGATGGGGCAAGCCCGACTGGGTCAGCACTGGCCAGCAGAAGCGGTGGCAGAGCCTCCTCATTTTGGGACCAGCTGGCACAGGTAGGGGGAAAGTTCTGGGGCAGGTCTGATGCCCCTGAAGCCCCACTACTGGGGCAGGATGTTAGAGGGATCACAGCCTCTTGCTACCTGGTAAGTTGTGCAAGGGGAGGGACTTCCAGTGGCAAAGGTCAGGGGCTGGGGCTTCCGATGGCAAAGGTTGGGGCTTCCAGTCCCAAGATGGCGACCAGGGGGTGGGGCAACTGAAGAGGCAGGGCTGTCCCTGTGGCCCTCGACAGCTCGCCAAAACTCATCAAGTGGCCCTCCACCTGAAATAATTGCCTGCCCTGATACATACCAATTAGTTTTCTAACCCTAGTTTTCTGTTTCAAACCCTGAAACAAGGACAAGGCAGTATCTTCATTGTCCCCTTGATAAAAGATTGTCCCATGTCATCTGAGGTCAAGTTATGGCCTAAAGGCTATGATAACCTTCAGGTTACCATTTAGTCCTCCCTCAGACAGCTGTTCACCCAATTATCAGTTGTGCTTGATCTCCAGTGGATATTAAATTTGGGAGCATGTTTATCCAAAATCCATTTAAGGCCTCTATTTGAAAAGGTTTCTATTACTTGCCATATCTGCTAATAATTGACATTATTGCCAGGCAGGATGGGCAAGGAGGAACACATAACAAAGTAAATTAATTCACCAGTAAGTTTATTTGATGGAGTCTTTTCTTCTATTATCCTCCATCCCCACCTTTCTTCCTTTAGGGAGTGTTACTTGAAGGACACCTTCCAGCCTCTTTGAGTTTATCATTTCCTGATCTTGATGTTGCTAAGAGGAGAAGCTTAAATATTCTATTTATTGAACATGCCTCCTACTAGTGGATTAAAATAAACCAGTGAATGATTTAGCAAAGTGAACAGTCACAGGGGTCTAAGATGGTTGTTCACCCTCAACAGAGTGGGGAATTAAACTTACTAGAGTTCTTGCTGCCTGTGCTGCTAAAACCAGAATAAAAACACCTTGTCTTGTTTCCAAACTGGCAGTTAAGCAGGGGGAGAGGGTGGGTAGAAGGAAGCGTCTTGTTTGTAGACAAGGAAGCATTGTGAAACCATTGAGAGGTGATAAATATAGAACCATACACCACCATTTTTACACTTGCTTTTCTGACCACAACATTATTTGTTTTTCCATTCCAAGTACTGCTCGTCTTGCAGTACTTCCTAATTTAACTCAACCATGAAATTGCTTATTAAACCATGAATATATATATATAACAGGTAAAATTATACTGTCCTGGAGATAAAATCCAGAGCTAGTTTTTTCTTCAATGTTCATAATTGCTGATATTATCTTGCCAATTGCAGATGAGGAAGTAGCACTGGATTACAATTTCGACAATGATTTAAGAGATTACCACAAAATGTATTGGGAGACAGAGTTCAAACCTGTGGCAGAGAAACTACTCAGCCGACTTCAAAGACAACTCTCCTTCTTTCAGCCTATCACCGTGACTTCATTTTAATTCAGAAGTTAGAGGAGTTAGCAGTACAAACCCTAGAATATTTCAGTCATTTAAAATAGTAAGTAAATGCAAAGAGTGATTGTTAGCAATATGTGGGAAACAACTCTAAATGCTGACTGGTTATTTTTTTAATGTAGATTGTACAGTGAAATATTTCCAGTGCAACCTGTACATGTCTAACATGCTTATCAATTATGGAGAAAGATGAATAAAATTCATTTTAATCTGACATCTAGCCATCTTTTGAGAAACTTAAATGTGGTCACCATCCCTCAAGTAGTTTCAGTCTTCATCCACAAAACTAACGTGCAGGTGTTGATTTCAAGGATGCTTGTTTGTCATAAAGCGATTTATACCAGCCACATAAGATGAGCTTTCAGATGGATAGTTCCCAGTATAGGTTGGTAAATTTGGTTATTGATAATGCCAAGGGTATTCACAGAATTCCTCATGGTAACTCAAGAGAATTCAAGTGCAAGTTTATCCATACCTGGATGACTGTCACACATGGGAAGGTTCATTAACAAACTTCACAATTTTTGCCTTGCTAGGACTAAGCAAACAAAGAAGTTAGCCTTGGGTGTTATTCAGAAATACTCAAGGGGTGTTTTTGCTTTCCACAAGAACCTGTCTATTCCATGATATCTTGGCCTGGCTGCCCCAAAAAAGCTTCTAAGCCATAGTAGAACTGACCAGCCACTGACATATTTCTTCCAAGACATCTGTACAAGCTTTCAGACGTCCCACATAACTTCTTACACAGGCTTAACTCCACTGTTCAGATGAAGGGTGGTATACTGTCATGGTTAAAGTTTGCAACAACTGTATGTGACAGACAGTTCACGCCCACAAAGTTTTATATTTTCTTTAACCTGGTCAAAAGTTGTACTGTCAATATCCTGGACATGTGTCTCTTCACAATAGGTTGAAGATAGGTAATCAATAATAATAGATCAATTATCTAATATTCAAACATGGGAAACAGACTCTTCAAAAAAACCAAACCTAGCTTTATAGAAATGTCTTAGAATTAAAGCACTGTTCTTCAGGTATATACAATTTTCTTTCCAATTGCAAAGAGCTGACAAGTCAAATCATGACTGAGAATAGAGCCACAACGCACAAAAAAGGGAGACTGAGATATACCTCACCCTCAGAAAGCTTCAGCCCTATGGAAATTGCATACCTGTCACAGAATTACTCTGATAGCTGTGGTCAGTAAAGGACGTGATCCAAGAAGGACCTCAGTCTGGCAGGAGGTTGGACTGAATGACTTCTGGCAGTACCTTCCAGCTCTACTTCTCTACAAGCTCTATGAAAACAACATAGCTTAATGGATTTTTTTAGTAGGGCTCTCTATTTTATAGGAGATAGATAATTAGGTCACTGTATGGACAAGTGCTCCAAGGAAAACAGTAGATGTCGTTCTTGGAGGTGGATTGTCCATGTATATTCCACAATCCATCTGCCTCCCTCAGTTCTATGGAGTCTTTATTCTATTTCACCAAAGCAACTACAGGATAATTGGAAGCCTCTCACTTTATGCTTTCAGTTAAAGGAATAAAGATACCTCCCCAAGACAGAGCTGGCTTAACAAATTTCAGTAAGTGTGTGAGGTTTAATGAGACCAACCGGGATCTGTTTGGATCACACAGTTGGATTTGGTTACTGTGAGGGTACTTAATTATTTAACTGGCTAAAATAAAACTGTTGTGTCACTTTGAAGATGCCTATGGCCAGGAAGTTTTCTTCTGTCCTTAATGCACTGCACTGGTGTATAGCTTGACAGTAGGTGTATGTTTGTGTAAGTGAAAGGTTAAAGTAGAACAACAAAATATGGCCATTAGCAGACATTATATTTATTCTGCACTTAACATGTTATTCTCATGATAAATGATAATATGCAACATCAAACCAATTCACTGGACAATGAAAATGGAAAAATCTTTGTGGCTGAGTGGCATCCTAATTTAAATATGAACACATCACGTAGCACCCCCTCATCCCCAGCTGTCTGCACCTGGCATGTGTTTAGTCAGCTGTGGGCAGGCCCAAGCAGCTAGTTGCAGGTGTGCCAAAGTCCACAGTATGGACAGCTGAGGACCAGGGAGTTCCTTGGTCTCCAGCAACCTGGGCCCAGGCATGCACATACAGCCAGCTGCACACTGCAGCAGACATGCAGTGTGTTCTGAGGAATTTTATCCCAGATCCCAACAATCAAACTTCCTGCCATGCCAGATCTTGAACACCTGCAATTGTTTCTTGAACACTGCTACTTCATTAAACTGGGCTTTAGTATTGAGCTGTAACATTTAATTAATCCTTAACAAGCAGTAATAAATGATGCAGACTACTTAACATAAATAAGAGAACAGGCATGCATGTGGTGTTTCTATAGTAGTAAAAGAAAAGAAACTGCACCCAGCTATTTAGTATATAGAGCTTGAGGTCTGCTGTACCATGTGGGAAGGGCTTCATGGGATTCAATGCACTTTTCTTTTTGAAGGATCTTGCCTTCTCTACAACATAATTCTGTTTCTGAAGATCAATCAGTCATCCTCCATTCCTGTAGGCCCACAATTTCCTACTGTCAACAAGAACCAACTTGAGCCCACTTTTAAATTCCATCTTTGCTACTGAGTTGCTCTATGGCCTTAGGTAGTCAGTCACTCTTCTCTTACACAAGGATCAGAAGTAATTATCCCTTCACTCATGTTGATAACATTTGTGAAACACAGTATGTGTATTAAGTACATGTATAATGAATTGCAAGAACATGTTCAAAGAGCCAATTTGTCTCTCTTTTGAACAAGTTTTTGCAACAGTTAATCCAATTAATGAACTGGATTTTAAAACAAAAACAACTATGCAAAATGAAAGAACAAGAAAAGTTGTTACCCTTTATTTAAAAAATACCAGTAATACTGACAGGATTTCAAAAGCAATTGACACTTATACAGAAGTATTCATATGTTCTCCAAAACCAAATATAATGTTAAACATGAGCATTTTATGCATGTTTTCCCCCTAAACCAGATGTGTTTCAGCCTAATTACTTAAGCAGCTGCAAAATCAAGAAGACCAGCAATAAGTGTGATGCATGGGCTTCTTTGCAGCCTAGAGTAACATTCCCACACCTTGCCCTGTAGTTGTGTGTCTAGGGGCCAGATAACAAATAAAGGGGCATCAGTGACAGGTATTCATCCTTGAAAAGCAGGTTAAGGAGCTGTTCAGCATTACACATTGTTACATAACGTGTCTCCAAATAGCCCAAGGACTGAATTTCCCTCATAGGAAGACCACCGTGCTTTGGCTTTTCACCAAACAATGCTGTACAAATTATCCTACAGCATTTTTAAGGCTAATCTACGTTTAAGAAAACTGTTAGCTTCCAAAACTGTCAGTGTGGACAAAAGAGGTTTAATTCTGATTTTTTTTTAAGTTGCTAAATATCAAGCCTTCTTTAAAAACCACGCAAAATGTAGGCTCAGACAGTAGCAGTGCTCATGTTCACTTTTAGCTTAACTCAAACAGCCTCTGTCTGTTCATTACACCAGCACAAATAGCAGCATCAAGATTTTCTAAAATTGTTCTTGTATCAAAAGCAAATGTCCCACTTTGCTGCAAATTCTCTTCATGTTCCAGCTCCTGCTGCATTTGCCTTAATACAAGATTTATATATCTATCATTTGCTAGATTGCCACAAGTCATAGGGCTTCCCGTGTTGTCTAAAGCCAAATGCTGTGATCAGGCAGCACAACCCTATCTTCTGAACTGCCAAGCATTCACTTCTCAATGAGAGCAGTGATATTTCAAACAATGAAATAGCTGAAACTAAAGGCGTTATGGCACAATGGGCATCTCAGTTTTTAGCTACCATTGGCCTCCAGGCTTAGTAGCTTCGCTCTAGACTGCTGAATGTTCCATCGTCGTTAGCCTGCCAGAGATATCAGGTCATATAGCGAGTAATAGCTCTCAGAGCATAAAGTAGTTCAGCTTGCATGCGAGCTTCTATCAGAAGCAAATTAACATGAACCTTAAAAAAAAGAAAAAAAAACAAACAAGAAGTTAAGTTTGGAAACATTTTTGCAGTGCTCAAAAAACACCTCAGTAAAAGAACTGTGAAAAAATGCACACACACTTCTGTGGTAGCTGTCAAGACCAACAGCTGCATACAAAAATTAGCACTCTCTACCAAAAATCTCTCGGACGGGGAAAGATTTCAGCAAATGCTGTGGAGGAGGGAGTGGTTAGGTGTATGGTAGTTTTTAAACAGTTTTAAAAGGACCTTGGGCTGCTCACAAAGGCACAGGCACTCAAGACCCACTCCGGCCTGGGAATTACATGTCAGCAGAACACAAGTTTTCATTAGAAGAAAGCTTCTTGACTATTTTTATGAAGAAAAGTGCAAAGCCATGAACAGAGTATAATGGATACCCATCTAGCCTGCAGATAGCAGGAAATAATACTCAGGTGTAAACAACACCATATTTTATCAGTGCAATGTTAAGTGCAAGAGCCACTGCTTTTGAAAGACACAGTAAATTCATTATTGCAATATATGGTACCAATAACACCCAAGTAATTTCAGTTGAAGCACAGTGGCCATCTAATGACAGTAGCTACAACGTGCTGCTACACACATACTTCAGATCTTCTAAGCCACACAGAACACAGGCAGACCGTACCTTCTCAGACTGCTTGAACTGCCTCCAGAAACTATCATACATTCTTTTTGTGGTCTTCTCAGGAGTGCAAACCACAGTTTTGATATAAACTTTAAAGCTGCGGTCCAACAACTGATTAATCTCACCATAGTCATAATCATCATATCTGTTCGGAAGTGAAAGAAAGCTGTTTTTATTTTCTCATCTCAGGTTTAGTATTTCACTGAACTTACAGTAAAGTGCTCAAAAAAGTGACTAAGTGAACTGTCAAAACAGACTACTTTCTAATCTGCACTGCTCATTAGAGCAGAGTATGGCAGGAGCCAGACTGCAGGGGCAGTGTAATTTAAAAGGATTAGCACAGTAACTGGCTTTGCTTCCACAGGAGGTGGGGGGGAAAGGGAAGAAAAAAAAAAAAAAAAAAA